ATATTAAAAAAATCTTTAAAAAAAAAATACTTTTACCTATTATTTTCACTTTACATTAGTGAATTGATTGCTGCTGATCATTCTCCTTTACCATCATATGGTATTAATTTTAAAATTAATATTTATTTTTATATTTTTTTATATAAATTTATTTAAAAAATACTCTTAATATATATCTTAAAGAACACATATTAAAAAAATCTTTAAAAAAAAAATACTTTTACCTATTATTTTCACTTTACATTAGTGAATTGATTGCTGCTGATCATTCTCCTTTACCATCTCCTTCTTAATTACCTCAGATCACATTATCCATTCACATGCTCTATCTTTTTATTTCTTACATTAAAAGCACATCTCTCTACTTATTTTTCTTTAAGGCACATTTAAATTTTTTATTTCATTTTATCATCGTCACTTATATTATTATTATCATACATTTTAACTTTGCCATTGACAGGACCGCCATTACCTCATTCTTTCATTGGTGGATGAGACATGGACACCCATAGAAGGTATCATTACCATAGCATTGGAAGCTGTAGATACAAGCTGGGACTGGATACAGTTCCCTTAAGGATGATGCTTTCAGGGGATAAAGCTTTTAGTTTGGTGGCCCTGGCGGTGATACTGCCCATTGCCATTAATAAAAAAAGACTCATAAGATGTTTAGTTTATTAAATAATGACATGTAAAAAAAATTCTAGCGAGAAAATTTTAATATATTCGTAAATAGAAAGAAGAGCAGATTGTAAATAAACATTTTGGAAACAGAAGTTAATCAGCTAATCTGCAATCTCTCCTTCCTCCAACTCTCCAGGAAAGCAATCTTCTTTCGAATTTGGAAGGTTTCCTTTTTCTTGTATTTCTGGTTCCTTGCCAAATTCAGCTCTCAAAGGAGGAAAATCATCATCATTTATTTCTGCCATGATATCTGAGAATATATCTAATAAACTTTGATCAAAATCGATTTTCATGTCTTCTAAATCTATCGATTCCTTGGCATGAGAGCAGGACTGCAAACTTTTGCCTGCTGCAGTGCTCCCCAACAAGGCCTCTGCTGAGTTATTTGATGATTTCTCAAACCTATTCTGACCGTGGATTTGGTGATTTGGACTTGAATTCACATGCTTCAAGATAACAAATACTTGAGGATCGCTGTGGTTGTCGTCTTTAATTTCCTCCTCGCGAAAGGTAACACCTTTTGGGCTTCCATTATCATTGCTGCCAGAATCCTTGAGCTCTGATCTATTAACACTCTGTTTTTCTCTAACAACTTCAAAATCAAAGCTATGTGAAGGGAGAAAAACATGAATTACAGGATATTACAGGATATTCCACGATAACAATATTGGCCAACTGTTTCCTTATTGGGGCCTTCATATCTGATTCACGAAAAGGTGACTTGGGTCCCTGCAGTGGCACACGCACAGAGATGTCGTGTAAACAGAAAAGAAAGGAAAAAATCAATACATTATCAATTGATAAGCATCAACCTAGAGAATTTTCAAAGATTGGTAAATTCAGAAACATGATGATGTGGTAATCAAACTTCAGTGAATCAATCATGATTATTGGATAGCCAAAAGCAAAGTGCTGGTTTTAAGACAATAATGACCATATATCCTCCAAATAAATAACAAAACTATAAAAGTGACACAGAATGATCTAAATAAAAATAATGCCGAGTAAACCTAAAAAGAGATCCAAAGTGGCGAAAAACTAGTAGCATAACTAAAAAGTAGTAACACACATAATAAAAAAGTTTCAGATATAATTATAAAAGGTAATTGACATCTGAAATCAAGATTTTGTTTTCTCTACTTACTTTGGGTCTAAATGCTTTTCTGAAAATTGAAAATCAACATTCAAGGACCAACTAGCGTCCATATGACCAAGGAAGAAAAGGGGAAAACCATATCCATATTAAGGAATAAAAAAAAGAAAAGAACAATAAACCACCTTTGGATACTTTCAGAGGAAAAACTTGAGATTTTCCAGCTGCTCCTTAGAGAAATGTCTTAGCTGGTGAATCCATGGGCCAGGTTTCAGATGGTTCTCAATTACAGAGCAGAGGTTCCTCTCTTCATTCACTCTGAGACAACAAAAATTCATTAGTTGTAAACTAATATCCGCCAGCTATGAAGTAAGGGATCAAACAATCACAGGATTGCTGAATGGAATAATAACCAAATTTTTTAAATAAAAAATAAAAAAATAATAACCACTTGAAGACAATAGTTTTGCTGAAGGAAAAGAAGTGGTAGGACAGCTTACCCACGATCAACTATAACCACATCTGTTGAGTGAAATCGCCACTCAATTGTCCATTAGATGAACTTCTCCCTGTGGCAGATAGGAAAAATAGCACATATTAAAGAATTGTTTGCTCAAGAGGAAAGCCTTCCTCTCACAACACTAAAGCTTCTTGAATCTAGTGATGGCCAAAATAGTTTATCCCATGCTAATACATATCACTTTGAAGAATTCGCTTTCTCAAATTCATGGAACAGTTCTTGAAGGTTTCAACACGGAGATAAGTTAGATGTCACATGGTATGATTACACATTTAAGATAGCAAAATATAGATATTGTTTGAAGAATAGAACCAGCATTTGAAGTAGCTAAATAAATAATGGGCAGAAAAGCTCTTCAAAAAGCAGCAATAACCTTTGATTATACCGAGTTTTATTCTTTTCCCTCTTCGACATCCCACTTGGTTGAAACCATAGCTTTGTTCCACGACTTGCAGCAGCACTATGAAGGCTTCGAAGGACAAAAGGTAACTTAAAATGAGAATAACCACATAATTTGGCTCTTGTTCTTTGCGCAGATTTGGCAATCCTCTTCACTTCCTCAAGCAAATTATAATCTACTCATAGGATTCCACAAAACATTTAGAATAATAGAAAAACATTGGAAAAAAAGGGTATACTTCATTACACTTTAAAAAGCATGTCAAAAAGGCTTCTATTAAACATTGGAAAAGGTATGATCCACACACAAAACTGTGGAAACTTTGGAGAAAAAGGGAGGGAGAAAGAGGGGAACGAGAGCAAGATAGGTAGCAGGGGATGGTTGCAACATAAAAACTATTCAAACATGCCAACAAATCCATTATGACTCAAACCAACTGCCAATTCCTAAAGAAACAGCCAAACTTCATGGAAGAATCAAATTTTCAATGGTAAACAGCTAACTACTTAACAAATTTATAATCACACTGCAAGAAATAATCATCCTGGAAATGAGAAGAATGAGGGGGAGAAATGGCAACCAAATTCCAATCAAGACAAATGGAACCCCTAAAATGCCTCGCACGGCCAGAGAAAGTGAATCCCATAATAACTAAAACCATCAAATTCCAATAGGGAACCTCAATCCCAGCTGAAAGAAGTGTCCAACAATGCATTGTGATAAAACTTAGAAAAACAGATTTAAGAAAGAGAGCACCAGAGACGAGGAGATTATCGTCGAACTCAGAGAGAGGAACAAATTTGGTCATGTTTCTCTTTCCATTGCAGCCAGTTCGTTGCTTGTGAGCTTTGACACATGGAAGACTGCAAGAATGGAGTGAGCAACCTGGACACTTGTATTTTGACGGGTGATTTTTGCACCCTTCGCAAAAAGCAGGTTCCTTTGCCATTGGTTTTGGGTTTGTTGAAGCCTCTGCTTCCTCCATGTTGGAGAGGACTGGGGTTTATCTGCAAGGAATAGGGTTAATTAAGAAAGAATAATAACGATTAATTAAGATAGAATAATAGAGAGGGGAGGATAAGGGATAAAGCATAATAAAACAGTAAATTACAAATAGAGCAGTGCTACAGACACTCGCCTCCTGCACTCTCCGGGCAACACTTCCACTTTCATTGGGCCACGTAAGCTTGCTTTCGGGTTTTTGAAACGCACCTTCTCAATCAAAATAACGTGGACCAATAAAAATGGAAGTGTTGATCGGAGAGTGCAGGAAGCGAGTGCCCCCAGCACTGTCCATTACAAATATAGATAGGATTTACAAGGAAAGAGGCATATGAAGACAGTACGAGGGAATGAAGATGAAATTAATGTAAAAAGAGAAATGAAAGTATAAAAAATAATGTGAAAAAATATTAATTTGAGGAAAGTTACATGCACTAAATTAAGACAAAATTAAAAAGCATATTAATAACATAAGTATATGATGATAAAATGAAGGGTGGTGAATAATTATGAATTAATTAAAGTTGATGAAAATAATTAATCACTACAATTACTCTTTCATTAGAGTAATTAAATTAGTCTAATTACTTTAATTAAAGCTAATCAAGATAATCAATTAATTTTAATTAAGATTAATCAAATCAATTAACCACCATTTAAATCAATTATTAAGATTTTTTTTTTATGTTTTTAGATTTTTTTTTATTAAACCATTCTGGTTGAGAAAGACAAATCCGTAAAAAAAAAGAGAAAATAGAGTACAAGAAAAAAAAAAAGAAAAAAAAAGAAGGGATTTTCAGAGTGATGGGTGTAATAATGATGCTCGGTGATGATGAAAGTGGCCAGAATTTTAACTGAGATGATAATCTGGTGGAAGAGTGACGATGCCGGAGTTGTAGAGGAAAAGTCCGCGAGAAGAGAATCGGGGAAGGCCGAGAGAGTGTCTGAATGACGGCTGCTAAAAATATTGAGACTTGGGTTTTCAATTTTGAATGTAAATGGGGTATGAAACGGTGAGTACGAGCGGTGTCATAAGTTTTGGGCCTAACATGTGCTTTACACATCATTCTCATCTTTTCTTTTTTCCGTTTACATTCCCCTTTTTCTTCTTGAACTTCTTCTATACGTTTTTGTTCTTCATCTTAGAGCCTTCTTCACGCGGAATAAGTTCCTCTCACAAAAATTAAATATATCTTTACATGTAAAAGATGTCATTAAATTTTGATTAAAAAGAACTTAAAAATAAATACTAAGGTAAAAAAAATTAGGTTATGACACTGTTTAATCATTTAACTATAATGATAACATTAGCATGATTTTTTTTTTTAAAATATGTATTTATTCCCTTATCTTAATATATTTTAAGTTTTTTAACCCACCACTTTGTACTTTTTAGCTTTTAACTCTTAGGTTTAAATGTTTAAAAATTTTAATTCTTAAATCAATTACATTTGTTAATTCTCTATTAAAATAAAAATATAATATTTACAAAATTAATTATCAAATATTAAAAATATAATAATTTAATTTTAAATATTTAAAATTTTAAAAAATAATATTAAAAATCTATAATCAAATTAAATAATTAATTCAATTTAAAAAAACCAATTAAAATTTAAAAAAATTTAATTGTATTCTTCGTCTTTTAACTCAACTAAAGGCTTAAGCCCTTATTTCTTAAAAAAAAAAAAAAAGAGGCTTAAGCCCTTCCAACGCAACCCCTCCCGACAACGGTCGCCTTTGCAGGTCCCACAAACCAAACCAAACATAAATGGCAAAAACCTAATTGGAGCCCTTGACTTTATTAGATTTTAAGTTTTAACCTCTCACCTTATATTATAACATTTTTAGCACATCATATACTAGAATTAAAAAAAATAACCCTCACTTATAATATTTTGTTAGTTTTGTTAGCTGACTGTTAACTTGATTAGTTGACTATTAGTTGATTATCAATTGATAAAAATTTACATTCAGCTAATATAGTTAATAGTTAATTAACAGAATAATTCTATTAATTGACTGTTAGTTGATAAAAATTTATTTTTAACTAATAAAATTAACAATCAGCTAACAAAATTAATAATCAGTTAATAAAACTAATGAAATATTATAAAACGAGGGTTCTTTTCTTTAATATTAATAGGTGAGATGCTAAAAATGTCAAAGTATAAAATAAAAGACTAAAACTTATAAATTTAATAAGATAAAGGGTTAAAGGTACCTTCTTACCAGGTAAAAATCTCTATGTTGTTCTTTTTCACATTTCTTATTTTGTTTGCTCTCTTTGAACGCTCCGGACCTCGCCAAGACAAAGTATCCCTTATTTGCTTTCACTATCTTTTTTTTTTCCTTCATTAATTAGCTTTCCATTGAGAAATTATCTAGGAGAAACCAGCTGCATCCTCTCGGTAGTTTTTCTCCTCTTTTCAGTCAAGCAAAGGATTTGCATTTTTGCCCAAAGAGAAAGGAGGTAATCCTTGTTAATCCTCCGTGCTGCTCTTTCTTGAGAAAACTTCTATCAGAATTGTTTTTCAATCTGCTTTTTTTATGGGATTTATGTTGTTTTCTGATGGTTTTCTCTTTGTTTGTCCTATTTCTTATCCAGCTCAAGAGGGCTCTTCTTTATCCTGTTTTACTCCTCCTCTTCCTGTTACCAACCCTCTCTATCTTTGTTATCCTCATATAAGTTTCTTTTAAACTATAGTATGGTTCGCTGTAATCTGGTCTTTATGGCTACGGAGGAACGAAGTGGTCTTCGCCAAAAAAACTGACTCACAAAGCCAGGTATATATTGGAACTACCTGATCTATCTCAAGAGGATTGGTTCAAGGCTCCGTGGGAAGCTTCCAAAGTCATATATACTGAGGGGCAAAGTAAGTTGTAGGAGTGTGCTATGTTTTATTCTGTGATGTTTTAGCTCTTCTTTTCTGATTTAAAAAAAATATATAAAGTGTCTTTTAAACTAACAGATTTCCCTAGGAATAGGATGCCCATCATATAAAGGATATTGATTTCATTATTTTCCGTTTGTGCATAATTGAAAGCTTTTCTAACCCAGGAACATACCTAGATTTTTTTTTTTTTTGAACGGTAAAAATATTGTTTTTGTTGACAGAATACAAAGGGGTATTCCAAACCCATAAACTAATTACATTATTTTCATTTGCTACGCAACAGTAACCAAAAACCCCAGGCACATACCTAGATATATAATAGATGATTGTTTCTAGATATGTTGTAACAAAGATCTGGTTTTTAATGGGTTTTTTTTTTTTTTTTTGAAGAAATCTGGTTTTTAATGGTTTAAATGTACTTTGAGATAAATTAATTGTTGAATCACTTCCCATTCTATTATTTTCTTCTTCTAGTGTTTTTGTGGGCCCTCAGTTCTCTGTCTTGTACTGGTCGCACTGCATCTTTGGGCAAAGAATTTTCTAGATATATTGACGTAATGTTTAGAATTAGAAATATTGTACGGGTTTATATTTTAGGGATTGAGCAAAATTATGATGTTTTGATAATTAAAATATTAAGAATGATTATAAAAATTAAAATATCTTTCATAAATCAATATATAAAAAAATTATTAAGAATATTTGAATAATTTCACAAAAAATTTTAAAATTTAAAGTGTTAGGATTGTCTTGATTTTTATTTTTCTCTAAATTTTATACTTTCTTCAAGTCTTATCTTTTTCTTTTTTAATTTTTTGAATGACAATAATATTATTAATCAAATCAGTACAAGGGCTTCAAGTTTATCTTTTAAATTTATATTAATGTTTCAATTCTATTTAATCAATTATGTGCATATATACTCAGGTGATTAATTTAACACTGTTGGTATGATGAGCTGAAAATCTATATTTATGTGTAGAAATTCTTTTATATAAGAGTTTGAGGTGTGTTTTTGCAGATGATTGGCATGGTTGGGAATGGACACAGGACTTTAAGTCGCGCTATTAAAATGATTCTTCCCCCAAATAATATACAAACATCCTCATTTCTCAGAGTTTCAGGGGCTGGTTTGTCAATTGCAGTTCATGTTAACAATCAATGGCACATTGTAAGGATCTCTGCTGGTTTCTTCGAGAACTTCAATGCTCGTACTACAGCAGGAAGGACAGTGGGAATGGATATCTTCCAATTTTATAATTTACTAGCTCCTCACATGAAACGTAATTCGCGTTTCACCCTCATAGTTGACAATGAGGGATCTACTTCGGATCGCATCAGGGTAAGGTATCAAGGTAAGCGGCATTTTTGTGGAATTCATACGCTTGCTATGTGTGCAAGGGTTCTTCTCAATGTTGAGTGAAGCGTAGCATTTATATTCTATAAGAAGATTAGTATGTTAATAGCCAGTGGAGAATTAACTAGGTAATTAAGTAGAGAATGCAATATATTGCATTTATTGAATATATACTTGGGACTCAAGCTAGTGTTTATAATTTGTACCAAGAGAAAGAATGGGGAAGAACCAAGAAGAAGAAGAGAAACTAAGAGTAAAGAATAAGAAGAGCACAATAATGTTCTAAGAAAGAGACTAGATGAAATATTCATTTTGCTATGCTTTGAACACTGAATAAGTTAGCTAGAGGTTCCTAGAAGTTCCCAATCTGGTAACACAGCAATTTGAAAAATTTTCAACATCATATGCATGCCTCTTTTTGATTTTTTACTTCAATTGCTTATTTTTTAAAAGTGAAACTATATATGCTTAATGTTGATATATCTTTCTTTTCTTTCAGCTGGCCGTATGTATACCATACAGTCCATAGAGACTGTGGGTATACCTAATGGTGCAGATCAGGGAATCAATGTGCTTGAACTTGAGGCCACTGATCATAGATACATAAATTTTAGTAGCAGCAGGGTGCTTCACAGGTTCTTTAAAAAGTGTTATCGTGAGATGAAATTGCAACCACAACTGCGAGCTGGTAAGAATTTGGAAAACACTACTTTGTCTTTGGATGATCCTTCCAGTTCCTGGTGCATGTTTCCTTTTGGCTTGAGTTGTTGGAAACTTAAACGACCTTAATTTCTATTTTTTTTTATTTTTTGTCAGCATCCTTTACTATTGTACTAATTATATAAGAGATATCTTTTGTAGGTCCTAGTGATGAATTACGTTTGAGAGTTACTCATCAAGAGATAAGAGCGGAAGCACTTGGACTCGTTCAAACATATTCTTCATTGGTATGACAAGCCGTATAACCTTCACATGGGCCATACACTTAAAATGTTTATTTCGGTTAACTACATAAACTAGTTGATTATATTATGTAGGCTGGTCATTACAACATGCATGATCCTGCAAGTGACGTGGATGTGGTGGGTGATGATGATGAGATTATTGTGCAGTTCCCTCAAGCCATTGGTTGGTTTATGCTGCCTGCACGACGTGCAGAATCCATACGGGTGCACTTTGGTTTAGTCAGACCACTTGAGTTTCGATTTGCTAACTGTAGTGTTTATTTTATATGATTATTACGAGATTGATAAAAAGAAAAAAAAAAATTGGTTATTACTTTGATGGATTAATGTGTACAAGGAATGCTGGTTCTTTTGCTTTATCACTATTATATGATAATGTGCATACTAATTAGTTATATGTCCCTATTTGTAAAATTAAAAAAGTATTTTATAAAGTAAACTATATATTAAAAATGTA